AAGGCTACAGTGTTCAAAGGCAATGGTTTGAAAAAAAAAAAAAAAAAAAAAAGAGGAAAAAAGTCATTATTGCCATACTGCGTCATAATGAGATGTGAGGATGTCAATTTTGACTTGTCATAATTTCAACATTTAACTCATAATTATGAGGGGAAAAAGTTGAATTTGACAAATCGGAATTGAGTTTACAAAGTCAAAATGATAGTCAGAATGATCAAATTTAAATATAAAATATTAGTAAAATATAGAAATTATAAAATTATATAAAGTAATAATTATTAGGTGAAGTCATTATGGGGAAAAGTCAAAATTATGACATTAGGTCATAATTATGACACAATAAAACTATAACATTTAAATATAAAATTTTAGTAAAATTAATAAAATATAAATGAAAAAAGTCGTAATTTTAAAATAGTCATTATGGGAGGGAAAAAGTCATTATGAGACTAAAATACCATAATTATGATAAAAGTGAAAACTGACATACTAAGCCATAAAAGTTTGAAATTGTCACAAGTTGAAATTGACATCCTAAGTCATAAAAAAGTCAAAAAAAAAAATATATATATATATTACATTTAAATATAAAATTTTATTTTTATATTAATATTAATAATATTAAAAATAGAATAATTTTTAATAAAAATGTTAAAATATTATTTGATAAAAATAATTTTATAGTACTGTTAAATTACAATACTAATATTTATATAGTTTCATGTTCAAGTTTCAATACTTTTTCATTTTAAAATATGAAACCATCCAGCTTTTATTTTGTCAGATTGTTGGCTAATAAATATATGTGCAGCCTGTTTCAGAGTGAAATGCGGCACTGTGTTCAGTTACACGTGTGCAGATCATGATATGGTGTTTTAGCGTCTCAGAGTGACTTTATTCACAGTTAATGAACCAAGTGACTCTGGGACACTGAAGGATTTCTTTTGCGACAAAATATTTAGCGCTTAAAATTTTTTTACCGATATAGCTGATGGAAATGCCATTTATCTATAAAATTTCTCATGTGTCGACAATCTTTTTTTGTTTAACTTTACCGCATAAATTCTATATCGATACTTCAAATGTCGCAAAAATTTGTTTGGAAACACTTTTTGTCGAGAAAAGGGGCTTTAACGCAAATAAATGTGTTGTCACATGACAGAATTAGCCTATAGGCAGCGTCCCTGTTCGTGTTGCTCACGTTAAAGCACCGTTTCCCTGTAGTTCAAAAGCGCATTAAATCATATTCGTATTATTGTTTCTAAAATTATTTTATATATGGTAAGAAAAGGATGAGTTACCTCTCAAACATACAT